TCTCCTCCGGGGCAGGCGGGGTCGAACTCATGCGGAAGTGGCTTAAGCTTCCCAGTGCTGCGCTTTAACCCGCTGCGCCACCAGGGAGGGCCCTATTAATTTTATTTTTAACCTCTCTGAGCCTCTCTTAGGGCCATTATGAGGATTTAACAATTAGTGTTAGTGCCAAGAATAGTATCTAATACATGGTGATTAGGAAATATTATGTTACTTTTATTATTACCATGTCACCTTGATGGGGTGAAGAGACTGGGGATGCGGAGAGTGGATGTGGGCAAGGAAGGACCTCATGCCATAGTGAAGGAGACAGAAATAAAAAGACAAGAAAATAGTAAGATTGGATGACAGCAGTAGAGAACACAAGAGTGTATGTCAGGCAGTGCAGTTCTGGGAAGTCTTCTTGGAGGAGGTGATAAGAGGGTGAGGTGTGGAATATGTCAGGTGTGGAAGATGTGGAAGACCACTTTGGAAAAGCTCACAAAGGAGACACCACACAGCCTGGGACCTAGAGTAGTTTGGCATGACCTCAGTGCCAAGGTCAAGAGAGGGAGGAGAGGCATTTTATGGGAAGCCCAATCCACCCCAGTCGGCTCTCCTTCCACTCTACCTCGTTAGAGTCGAGTTTGTTGGAGGAAGGACTTGGGATTATAGAGTAGGACAAAGTGGACGTGGGGGGATCTCATAGCACAGTGGACCGGACTCACACCAGGTAGTTATCTGTGGGAAGAGCTGGCAACTTGCAGCAACAAGGAGAGCAGCTGGTGGTCAGGGTGTTTTGAAAACCAGGTGGGACTTTATTCCTAGCTGCCTTATTTTGAGGATAAATTGGGCCCAAAGTTAGGCCCTAAATTCATATCCCTTCACTCCATTCTCAGTCCTCTTGCTGAGGTAGGGATTTTACAGATGAACAGGTAGATATTTTACAGGTGAGGCCCCAGACCATTAAAACACCTGGCAAGCTAGTACTTGGGTCAGCAATGTGGGACTGTAAAGCCCAGGTTCGCCTGCTGTCAAACTGCCTCTCTCAAAGGGAGCTAGTGTAGAAATTAGCAAGAGATCCGAAGTCCTAGGCTGTGTAGTTATAGCTGGTGTCTGTAGCCACACACACACAACACGGGGGGTGGGGTTTCTCCCCTCACTCCTTACAGCCCTCCTCCTCACTCAAGCAGCCACTCACCTTGACCACACTGGCTCCTGCCTCCGTCTGTGCTCACGGCACGCCGCGGCCTCCATTCCCATCCCTTGTAGCCTCCCTCAGTGCTGCGGTCCTCGCCTACCTGCTCCTTCACAGCTGCCCTCACCGCCTGCCGTCGTGGGGTTCACCCCCCACCAAGACCATGAGCTGCAGGGGAGCAGGGACCACCTCCGTCTGACCTGCTCTGCCTCCTGGACCCACAGCACTGCCTGACATAGTTTGTGCCTAAATACTTGCTGGAGAGGGGGCACGGTGTTGGGACACCTAGGCCAGCCTCTGAGTGGCCCCCTAAGGGCAATGTGACCAGAGAGAAGCGCCGACGCCTTCCAACACATGCCTCTTTCCTCAGTCAGGTTTCTCAGTCTCATCCACCATGCCACCCAGGGACCCAGGAAGAAATACGAGGAGACCCAGACGGAAAGCCAAGAAATCGGATGGGACTCAGAGCCCTTGGTAAGTGCGGCTTCTTTACTTGAGTCCTGGAAGCAGTATAGGTGCATCCGGGGCCCTGAGCCAGACTGCCCAGGGTCAGCCTCGGCTAAGCTTCTGGCTGAATGACCTGGGCTAAGAAACTGAGCTCTTTTGTGTTCAGTTTCCCTAGAAAAGGGAGATTTTATAGTACTTCTAAGATGGTGATGGGGATTAAGTGGGCTGTTTGTCACCTGCTTAGAACAGCACCCGAAGATGCATAATGAATACTGTGTTGATTAAATGAAAGCTGCCTGAATTTGTTCCACCAGTTATCAGTAGGCTGATCTGGGCAGTCACCTCCAGCTCCACAGCCTGCCCCTTCGTCTGTAAGTGGGAGTGTTAGAACAGTACTCACCCCATTTCACCGGGAGGACACTATCTGCTGTGAAGGCACCTGGGTGCCCCACTTAGTGGCTCTGGAGCCAAGAGCCTGGATTCGGGTTCCACCACTTCCTAACAGTGTGATGTGAACGTCTGCTAACCTCCATGCATCCACCTTAAAGTAAGGTGAACACCGACACGACACTCGAAGGTTTGCTGTGATTAGCCAAGACAGTGTATAGAGACGGCGTAGGGCCACGCCCAATCCTTAGTTAAGTGGAGCAACTTGGTGCAGATGAGGAAAAGGGGCCTGTGGCCCAAGCGAGGACAGAGCTGCTGCCCCTGCTCCCTGGCCCTAAGCCAGCTGTCCTCATCCACTGAGTGCTTCCTTCCCAAGAACGCCCACCGCCTGTGGTTCCCACATTGCTTCCAGGGCCATCCACATGCCCTCGTATGACTCTAACCCGTGATCTGTAACACATCTGCTTTGCAAAGGCTGGAGCAAAGGGCTCAGCAGATGTCGCTAGTTGTAGCATGGGGCACAGGCAGGAGGTACCAGAGGGCCCCGCCACTTAGTACAAGGGACTGAGTCCAAGACAGAGGCAGGGAAGGATGAGAGAAGTGCAAAGGGAGGCAGGTGGGGTGGATGGTCTAAGCTGACAGGAAATGAGGGGAGAGAGGAAGGCTGTGAAGGAGGTGTATTAGGGGAAACTGAAGATCAAAACCATCAGTTAGATAATGAAGTCACTTAGAAAAATATCACAAAGCATGAATAACTGAACTATTTGTCATTTTCTTAGAGGGCAGGACTGGCTCCTGAGGGTACAGTGTACGTGTGGAAATGTTGTACTTAACAAGCAAAGGAAACATTGTAGTTAACAAGCAAATCTTATGGTATCACACCCTGATGGACAGGACAAGGCTCCTGGCCAGCCCTGCCTGCTCAGACCCTACTAGGCCTCACCGAGAGCTGGTTTCATGAGCCCCAGATCAGCCATCACTACCGGGTGGCAAAGAAGCTGCAAACACACCCAGCCTATGCGATACGATAAAGCTGGGCCGAGCCATCGGAAGCCATGGTGGCAGTCACCACTAACATCAGTCCAGGCATTGTGCAATCATAATGGTATCTATGCTGGAATTTCAGAGTGGTGTAGCTGGGGGCTTCATCACTCCGACTTAACTTCAGGGACCCCAGCCCCTTGCCAGGACTTTACCCCAATAGACTGAGTAGCCCCAACTCCAAAACTGGGGTTCTAGGGAAGCCACACTCAGTGAATACCTCTCAGCCTCTAGTGTCCTAGTAATATTTGCTCCTAGTGTTTCCTTAAAGGTAATTCACTGTACAGCGTAGCTTCTGTAAGATGTTTGTGAGAGGGCTACTGCTTCTGTTTGACTAAAACAGCATTCTGTCAATAAATGTGGATGGAGTCCTACTATGTGCTAGACCCTGGTCTAGGTGCTGGGGGTTAAGGCAGTGACAAACACATACAGCACCTGCCCTCAAGGGTCATACATTCTGGAGGTGAAGGGTAAAGTGAGAAGTGACTTAAGCCTCCAGGTTTACCAGTTTTCAAACCCGTTTCTCTCTTGCCCCCACTGGCTTCTGACACCTGTATTGTCTCTGTAGATTGACCCAGACCGCAGTGACCGCAGGGTGAACCACTTCCGGGTCTACAATGACATCACACTGTACAAGGCGAAAATATGGAGCCTGGGAGAAGACGATCGCCACAAGTAGCATCCCAAGGGCTGTCACAACCAAACCGGTCCTGGCTTAGATAAAAATGACTTCACTGCTTCAACCTGACACTACCTACCCTGAGTCTTACATTGCTCACGTCTGCCCAAGCCCACTTGTTCAGTTCTTGAAACTAGTGGGGGAATTCCAGTTAAAGGTCGCTTACTATTATTTTGTCTTTCCAAATACCAAAAAAAGCGTAATACAGGGTTATGGAAGGTATGAAGCCACAATGGGATGGGAAAGAAACACTAGCTATGAAGGAAACAGAAACTCTGTTTAATGGAACTCTGCTGGGAGATGAGGGAGGAGACCTCTGCCCCCCCAGAGCTGTGGAGAGTTCAGGACCCCAAGGCAGCAGGGGGTGAGTCAGGGGACTGAAAATGGGCGTGAGCAGCGAGTCCCTCTCCAACATCAGACCAGCAGTTCTCCTCACAGGGGGCTGGGGGTTGTCATCAAGCAATGGGGAGTCCCGGGCTCAGGGACACCAGAACATGGGCAGGATGACAAAAAGTTGAACCCCAGCACTGCTGGTGGCATGGGTGACGGAACAAAGGCAGCATTAAGAAAAAAAACCAAACCTATAATTCATATTCTGAGTCACCTATTGTCCTGTAGTTGTAAAACGTGATGAAAACAGAGTAACCGAAGAATAAAGAACTTTTAGTGAAAAGTGTGAAAAACGAAGGCTGCAGTAAAGTGACCAGATAAAATAATTAGGAAATCTTTAAAGAGAGCTAAAAATACAAACTTAGAAGATCAGCAGGAAGGGTACAAAGGAAATAGAGAGGAAGTTAGCAAACGCAATCTCCCAGAACACAAGAACATGAATCTTGCTAAATCCCCTAATAAAGAATGAAAACAGGCCCACACCAAGGAGCATCATGGTGGAATTTCAGATCAGAGGAGGAAAAGCCTCCAGAGAGAATGAGAACCAGAGCAGCAGCAGACAGCTGAGGCTCAGACAAGGAAACGCTGCCTGCATTGTTCCTGGGGAAGAACCACATCGACTCTTAAATTCCCTTCTTAGACAATACTGGAAATGGTATACAGCAAGAAAAGGTATAAGCTCTAAGGGAGGAAACAGTGGATCCATTCTAGAAGGTTTGTGAAAGGATCTAGTCGTAAAGAGACAGAGGTTGTCCCAGGAAAATTTCAGGTGGATAGAAAGACAAGGCATTGAGAAAAAATAAGGACACAGAAGGGAAATCAGACACACAGCAAAACAAGATGGTCACTGACTCAGATAAAAGCGGAGTCAGATAAAAGGGTTTTATCACAGTATGCCTCAAACTAAACTGATCAGTATTTAAACAATCAAACAATAGAAAACACTAGTTACTGATTTATCTGAGACTGTCGTACAACTCTTTGGAAGGACTGGGAAGAACTGAGGGAAATGTAAGTTAAATCTCCATCTATCATAAAAGGAAGGCAATTTGGATTCAATGCCTACTTATCAATTAAGTAGTAATGCCATTTACTATGTAAAAGTAACATCCCAATCTTTTAGTCCATACTGAGTTTTCAACCAAAAAGATACACTGGAAAATTTTCTTTAGTTTATTAAAAAAAAATTTTTTTTTAACCAGAAAAAAAAAATATACCAAATGACAGAAGGAATCCAATTATACTATCAAATCTCAAGTCTTCACCCTTTTTCTTGGGTGTCTTTACACAAAGATGCTGCTTCCTTAACGTGCTCTGCTCTTCATTTTCTCTCTTGTCCGTTTTCCAGGTCTCTTCTGCAGGAAAAGAAACACACATGTGGTCACCTAGCAGCTTGGCCTTCTGCCCCAGGGTCAGGGTGCGCGAGCGGGTAGACATGGCTGGGAGCAGGCGCTGACCCGGCTCACTCACATTTGATCCTTTCTTCCCAGGCCTCTTGAGGCCCTTGTCATGCGCCTTCTTGGCCCGGAAGCTGGACACATCGTTGAAGCTCTCACGCGTGTTCCACTTGGAGCCCTTCTTCTTTCCCCCAAAACCAAACTTCTGGTTTTTATAGCGTCGTTTGGCATTGGGACTAGGGAAATAAAGGTGTCTTGGAGGTTACCTGCACACGGCAAACCTGGCGGGACTTCTGGCCCCACAAATTTCCAGCTACCTGCCCCTTGGCACCATGCAGCTCAGAACGTCACCCTCGCCTCTCCGTTCTTTCTCCACAAGCTACCCAGACAAGCATATCTATTTCCAGTTTTAATCACCAGAGCAGGAAAACAAGGCAAGAATCAGGAGAGTATCCACATGTATCATGTGGCTCCTCATTTACCTTGGAACAAAGATCTTTTCAGCTAAATCTTGCTAAGTTCTCTAAATCTCTAAGTTCTCCTCAAGGAGAGCTACATCTCACTATCCCTGTATACTGGCTTACATACAACAAATATTCAAATGTAACAAAGTTTAGAACTAGTTATCTCACAGGAATCTCAAATTCAGTATACCCCAAATCACCCATCCTGCCCCCCACCCCCAATCTGGCTCCACCTCCTGTTTACACACCCTCATTTTGAGGGTGGTGGTACGGACATCTTCCCAGCCAGCCAGACTAGGAACCCAGGAGTCAACCCCGACTCTTCCTTCTTTCACACTCCACACCCCATTCAATCAATCAGTCTTCCTGATTTAACCTCTTGAACATTTCTTCAATCCATTTTCCCCTCTCTAGCCCCATTCCTACAACTCATCTGGAATTCTCCAACAGGCCCCTAGTCAATTTCCCTGCCTCCTTCAAGTCTACCCCAAGAACCACTTAATTTTGTAAAACATGAACATGACCTACTAGTTATTTTGAGTGAAGCCCACTAATATCTCCCCACTGCCTGCTGGATAAAATCCAAACTTGTCAACAAGCCAGACAGCCAATCCGGGCACTGGCCTAAGTCCTTCTTGGCCACATCTCACCTCCTCACCCTGTACTCCCAGTGATACCAAATACTGCTGTTTCTCACATACAAATGTGCTCTCCTAACCACTGTTTTTGCTCATTTATGTTCTTGAGGTGGGGAATCAACTTTTACTGAAAATTCACTTCAAATGTACCAAATCCTGAAATCACCTTACTTCATCGTTCAAAGACCGATATGGCAAAAAGCCTGTCAGGGAGGCCGCTGGGCCCTGGCTGCTGGCAACAGCCAGACGCTTCACACTGAGGTTGCTCTCAGGGGGGGCCCACTGTACCCCCACTGCTGGCCCAGCACACACCCCAAAACAAAACTGAAACACTTCATACCCCTTCTTCATCTTCTGGCCTTTAGCTCCTTCTTTGGGGCCCCGGGCAACAGGTTTCTGATCTCCCTCAAGGAAATCCAGTTTATCGGAGAAGCCTAAGAGTGAAGAAGTTACACGATCAGTGCCACTGTCTTTCAAGCTTCAACTTAAGTAAGGCTGCCAAGTACCAACTCAGTTTTAAGAGAAACATCTTGCTCCCCATCCCATTCCCAAGCCTCAGGTCCAATAGTTCCCAACCAGCCAAGGCCTCAAGTCCTGTGTTAACTCTAAGGCAGCCACTAGCCTCACCCCACCTCTTTGAGATGAGAGGTACTGACCTTTCTGATATTTCTTTATTGCAGTCATCATATGAGCTTTCTCCTGCTGCCTCTTTTGAAGAACTTCTGTTTGCACCTGAAACAAGGATACAAGACAATGACCCCACCCCAAAGCATCCCCTCTGGTGTCTACCTTCAGTAATGACACTGACAAAACCAGTACCACTGAGTATTCACTAGTTACCAAAACTGTGCTAAGGCTCTGAGAATATTCTTAATCTTCACAGCAATCCAGTGAAGCACCATCCCCTCAAACAAAACACGAAAGAAGTTAACTCCCCAGTCAGAGAGGAAAGTACAGAGCTGGTATTCACACCCAGGTGGTCTGGCTCTAAAGGCACTCTGACTCTATTACGAAATCCTACTACAGAACTACAGCAAATCATGGTTTGGTCCACATCCAATTCACTCCATTAATTATATCTGGGCAGATTAAAAATCTAATTTATTGTCACCAGGCATGAAAAGTACAGTCTGCTCTCTAGAACAGGAACAGATTTACTTTACTAATCCTTAAAAGCACAGTATAATGGCCACTTAAGATAGCATTTACATTGTATTAAGTATTATGAACTATCTAGAGAGGATATGAAGTACACAGGAGGATCCAGTAGATTATATGCAAATACTATGCCATTTTATATAAGGGACTTGAGCATCCACGAATTTTGGCAGCCATAGGGATCCTGGAACAAATCCCCTGTAGTCCTGAGGTGATTATATGAAAAGAGGGGCTGGGGGTGGGCAAGAGCAATCCCTCCAAAAAAACAAAAAAGGAATGCTTTGAGGACAAAAGGAGACATTTCCACTCTACTGTGCGATTTCTCAATCTCAACACTATCGAAATCTGGGCAGGGTAATTCTTTGCTGGGAAGCAGACACCTTGGCCTGGGCATTGTAGGCTGTTTAGTGCCTTCCCTGCTAAGATGTGACAATCAACGCCGTGTCCTGACATCACCAAGTGTCCCCTGGTAGGCAAATTCAGCTCCAGTTGAGAAAAACTGCCCTAAAGTTTCCCCATAATACTGACAGCAGCAGTGAAATAACAAGCCCAACCTTTTCCTTGATATATTAGCTACGTTAAAAAAAAAAAACTGCCTGGAGGATGTGGAGAAAAAGGAACTCTCCTGCATTGCTGGTGGGAATGCAAACTAGTACAACCACTATGGAAAACTGTTTGGAGGTTCCTCAAACTGCTAAACATGGAGCTTCCCTACGACCCAGCAATCCCACTCCTAGGTATCTATCCAAAAGACAAAAACACTGATTGAAAAAGATACTTGTACCCCCATATTTATTGCTGCTTTATTTACAACTGGACAAACATGGAAGCAGCCCAAATGCCCAAAAGTAGATGACTGGATTAGAAAGATGTGGTACATATATACAATGGAATATTACTCAGCAACCAAAAAAGAGAAACACATGTCTTTTGCAGCAACTTGGATGGAGCTGGAAAAGATCATGCTTAGTGAGATAAGCCAGAAAGAGAAAGACAAATACCGGATGGTTTCACTCATAGCAGGAGTATAATGGAACAGACGAGAAAATAATAATGATGAACAGCTGTATACCAGAGACATTTTGTGGGGGTGGAGTGGGGAACAGGATCAAAAACAGAGGGGGAGGGAAATGCACAGGTCTATGGTGGTGGCACAGGGGAGATTTGGTGATGGGAAACCCGCGGGGATTACAATCGAGATGGAAAAAAAAATGTGCAAAATGATGTAAAAATAAACTTTGTAATAAAAAAACACACAAAAAACTGCCTATCTTTAAGGTGACCTCAGCCGTCTAACTTCAGATCAACTCAATGACTCGAGAGAAGCCCTTCTGCAACTCAATTCTTTCCATAACCCTATCTTTAATTCCTTCATCTTCTTCCTTAAGTGGCAATGCAATAAAAAAGAAAAACCCAAAGGTTTCATGGTATGCCCGCTCTGGTTTTACATTAGAGTTCAGTTAGTCACAGCTCAAACACAGGTGCTATCTTTCTCTCTCAGACTGGATGACAATCAATAGTATGATTTCTTCAAAGATGTTATAATCATCTATGTCAGTGATTCTCAAATAAGAATCACATGAGGAACTTTTGGGGGAAAGAAGTCTAGAAATCTGTGTCAAAAAATTTCCCGGGGTGATTTGTTGTGGTCAGCTTTGGGAACCACAGATTTGCACTTAACTCTTCAAACTGAAGCCCAGAAAGGTGACTGACTAGCCTGTAGTTACCAGCTACTCCTGGTGACATACAGGTGTTGAGAAAAGATGGTGCTGTGGCCACTGACACATGAACCCGTGCAGGAACGAGCACACATGTATGCGTACACATGCACACACACGCACAACACACGCTGTGAAATAACAGACCAGACCCAACACCACAGGGCATGGAGCCGAATCAGACATCACTCTGGTCTGACAGATGCACTCGGCCTCATCCTCCTCCCCGTGCATCTTCCTCCTCACCTTCTTTCCGTATTTCCTGAGTGCCCGCAGTTGCTTGGCCTTTTCAGACTTCTCCATGGCAGCCTGTTTAGCCTGAAGTTTCTGCCGAATCTAAAACACAAAGTATTTTCAGCTTATGTTATCTGAATCTGGGATTAATGTTTAAGGTGCACTGGAGCAGGAAACACATAACCCCAGTTCTGCAAACCAGTGCTCAAAGGAACCTTGTAAATCACCTATTCCAACCCCTGCCTTGTACACCTGACGACAATGAGGCTCAAAGGTGAGCTTTGACCCAAGATACCAGGGGTACCAGAATGGAGCTAGAACCTGAAAGCCACCTTCTCTCGCCCAGTGTGCCATTTGTTCCATTATACAAAACTGCCTGCTTGCATTTTACCAGGAGACAATAACTTCCCATTCCTAATGTCTGCAAACTAAGGTAAGCCAGTATGAAGTCTCAGTTCCTTTCTCCAATTACCATGCACACAAAAAAAACCAAAATGACATCAGGTACCTAACCTTTCCATCAAACATATGCATTTCAGGGAAAGGATAAGCAGGTGTCCGTGTAGATGAACAGATACACATGTGGGCTCATCGCTAGCTTAGCTTCCCTGTGTAGCACTGAGACCAGAGTGCCCTGAGATCCAGCTTGAGGCCAAGGGGATTGTTTAAATAAAGCCTGAATAAATGTTGGAAATGTTCTTCCTCCCAAAGTTAAGTAAGAACCTAGTTCAAACTAACAAGTTTTACTACATCTGAACCATTTAGATATGAATCCCTCATTTTACAGAACAGACAACTGAGGGCCAGAGGAAAGGAACCAACTACAAGTCAAAGCACTGTTCCCAGGCAAGAGCTGTAGTCTCTATACACCATGTCAGTCAGGAAACACGAAGGCCAGCACTTCTTACAGTACGTTCCTCCCCTTAATTATAAATTAGATGCAAATCATTCATGTTTTTATCTGATTGGTGGTGATTAGCATGAGTCTGAAATAGTCAATGGAAAAAATAATGACCTGCAAACAACTGTTCTTTATTACTGAGTTTATACCTATGTAATGTTTAAAAAACATTACAGGAGTTAAAACAGCAGGATATACTTAAATACAGTCTCAGCCTTCCAGAGAAAACCTTTCCTGTTTCTTACCTTCTGCATCTGCTGGTCAGTCTTGGCCATCTCTGCAAAATAATCAGTGGGCCTCTTGGTAGGGACTTTAAGTTTATGGAGGCGGGGCAACACTGTAAGCACTGCAGCCTGGGCCTGACGGTAGCTGCGGAAGATGGAAGACGAAGTGTGAAATAAACTAACAGAGCACGACCCTGACTCCTTTTGTCTCTCATGAGTTATGCAAGGTCAAAAGGGCTTTCACCATCTGACCTCCATCAAGAACAAACATGCAAAATGGGATTAATACTTCATTAACTTAGTATCTAGAAGCAATTTAATTGAACATTCATTTTTAAAAGTGGGAGGGGCAGCATTGCTAAAAATAAATTACTAGCTTAAGAGAATGATCACTGAAAGTACCAGTTAACTTACAAACTGATGCCAATTATGAGTTCTTCAGTTACTAAAAAGTTCGTAACAACTTTCCACAAGCAAATTTTTCTCCTAATCACAACAAACCCCCACATTCTAAAACATACATACAAGCTCATCTCGCGCTGGAAGTCATTTTCTGGGTCAACAGCTTTCTGGTCCTTAGTCTGAGGTGTTGACTGGGGTCCACTGATTTCCCCGACGGGACCCAGGGTGACATCAAGCCTCTCAACCCATTCCAGATCCCGTTTGAATTCAGTCAAACAGTGTTTCAGGCCATTCTAGGAAATTCAGACAATGAGCTCACCAAAAACGGGAACCTACGTCCGTCTCTCCAGAGCCCAGAGTGCTAAGCCAAAGTGCAAAACGCCGAGACCCAGACAGAAAATTGACCTTGGCAATGCGCCGTCTTGGAACATCCAATCTCCCAAGCACAACAGTGCCTTGCTGACTTGCCATAAGGAGCACGCCCCGACCTGGCGCCCGAGCTCACCACGTCGTTCACAGCCTTCTTCGGCCCCTCTAGCACGACATTGAGGCCTGGCTTCAGCAGCCCCCGGGAAAACGCATCCTGCAACTGTAAGACACGTCCGGCGGTCAGTCTTGGAGCAGGAGGGGCCCCGCTTCCGCGCGCCGCCCCGCGAGCTCGGCATTCACCTACCTCTCGGTCAGTGACAAGGGAGTCCTCCGAATCCGACTCCGAACCAGAGAGCGGAGGGGTGTCCATCTCGCAGCGCGCTCGCGTACCACCTGTCGGAGGAAGCGGGGCAGCGCGAGACCCGCGCAGCTGGAAAGGGGCGCCTCCCTCCCGGGCGGCCCTCCTTCAGCCCCCCACTTTCAGGCCGCGAACCCACGTGCGCTTGAAGTGCACCAGCTCCAACTACTCACCGCTGCGAAGGAGCGTCTTTAATCGGAACTTCCGTTTCCGGTTTCAGACCCACTCTTCCGGTTAGTCGTTGCTATAGGAACCGCTCCGGCGTTTGAAAGTGCCCAGGTTGCTTCAGGTCAGTAGGGGTAGTTCCCCTATACACAAGTGCGGTCTGGTGACCCAAAGAGGAGAAGTGAAAGGTGGGAACGAGTACCTAGGGGTCTTCCGGCGGAGCAGGAAGCTGCGAGGGAGCAAAGGAAAGGGGAGAAACGGGAACAACGGGG